AACACAGTCCACAGGCTAGGCGTCCCACAGGCTGTGTAGCCTTTAAATTGAAGCACAAAACAAGCAAGGCAGCCGCACACTGGTCCGATGATCACAGAGCGAGAGACAAGAAAGGCAAGACTCACCAAGCCATCCATCTCTCCGCCCCTCAGTCAATCCCACTTGCGTTTATCAGCCAGGCTGGCACAATAAACTATCTCAACCCTGTAGGGTGGCCGTAGCTGAGTTTGGGGATGTAAAGTAGGCCTTTCTTTTATGGCGCCTGTTGGTGGGCTTGGTTAGCAACTGCGCATGTTAACCGTTTGCACCACCCATGCTGCCTGCCATCCCATAATTCCAACTCACCCATGGGTTAGAGGGGGGAAGTGAAACCTGGAATTATCTTCAGTGTAATTCTTACGGAAGCGGATCACTTGGCCTTTCTCTGTGGGACTTACTGCTGGGTGAGTTTGAGTTGCTAACTTTTACTCGGTAGCCAAGTGCAGACCAGGGAACTTTACACCATCAAGGGACTCCATTTTCCAGTTACACCATTGTTAGCACGTTTCCACCGAGCAGAGAATGTCTGCAACAGCCACAACTGATGAGGTAGCTGTCATAGAAGGCCCCTGGTTCAGGCTGCTTTGATACTTGTGTGAAAGAGCGCTCTCTGCCAGCAGCCGAGCACTGCCTGGTCTCCCTGCTGCCTCATGGTGGCCTGACTTCTTCCTGCCCTGGAGCAACACAACATGGACCTGGGGACCCAGGTTCACGCGGAAGAGCACCTAACAAACACAGATGTGATGGGAGAGGTGTCCCAGCTCCCACAGACTCCATGGAGCCATCTCCCCGCCTCTTCACCCACTTCTGATCATCATTCTCCTCCGGGATCCAGCCACGCTCTCTGCTTGCAGGAGTGTCTTGTACGTTTGATGACAGTTGCTGATTGGGGCTTTATGAGCCACACTCTCCCTCCCCGCCCTCTGGCTTCTCCAACACTGGCTTCAGAGAGTAGCAGGCAGCCCGTGCTACCGGGACCGTGCATCTCAGACCAGAAATCTTTGCTGCCGTGTATCTTGCTATCTCTGTTATCATCTGGACAGTGACGTGTATACATCATTCCGCCATCAGCCCAAGAGATCACTTGAAGAGATTTCCTCCTCTTTCTCTTAATAAAAAAGATTTAGAACATGCACTTCCCAGTTCACAGGCAACTGGAAGGGTGCAGCAGTTAAAAATGCAGGCTTTGGAATTGAACTGGGTTGCAGATTCAGTCTCTGAAGCGCTGCATACCCTTGGGTCACTTCTCTGAGCTTCAATTTCCTCATGGAAAGGGGATTAAAAAGCATATCTACCTCACAGGGCGATGGCGGTGGTTATTGTTGTTGTTATGTGCCATCGAGTCAGCTTTAACCCTGTGCACACAGACTGAAACACACCACAGTGTCTATCCATCTCTTTACCTAGCTCTGCTTCACCTAGCATGATGTCCTTCAGGGACTGCTCTCTCCTGGCAACATGTCCAAAGTATGCAAGACGAAGTCTCACCATCCTTGCCCCTAAGGAGCACTCAGGCCTTACTTCTTCCAACACAGACCGGTTTGTCCTTTCAGCAGTCCATGGTACTTTCAATATTCTTTGCCAGCATCACAGTTCAAATGCATCGATTTGTGGTGGTTGTTAGCAGCCGTCGGGTCTGGACCAGCTCGTGGCAACGCAGTGCATGCACTACACAACAGCACGTAGCCTGGTTCAGTACCAGCTTCAAGATCAGTCGTTTACTCAAGTCCACGGTTGGAGCCACTCATTCCAACCTAAGGGACCCACCTTCCAACCTTGCTTCAGACAGTGTTCTGTCTGATCCATGGGGTTTTCATTGACTAATGTTCCAAAGTAGATCTCCACCACGCAGTCATCTGTCAGTTTGTCTTACTGTAGTGATTTGCATGTTGCTCTCATTCCAAATACCAGTCGCAGTATCAATGGAGGGTAATTTTCAGGGGAGCCTCCAGACTAAGACAGACTAGGAAGAAAGTCCCTTCTAAGAACCAGTCAGTGAAAGCCCTCCTCATAGAGTGGTAATACGGGCTGCGTGATATAATGTGCACGAAACACTTCGCGTCATATGGTGGTTACTGTTATTGTGTAAATAAGAGGTTGAGACTAGTCTGAGACTAGCAGACTCTAGTCTCATGACACCTTTCCTCCTGCCGCTACATGAACCTAGGGCCACAGCTCCGATGGTAACGTGTTTCTTCCCAAATGGAAAATGTCTGCAACAGCCACAGCTGAAGATGTCCTGCCGTATGTAGAGGGACAGCTGGGGAGTCCAGGGCATTGGTGATGCCCTGTTTCTCGGCCCTCCATCAGATAGAGCGGCTCACTCATGAGAAGTGGGGCTAGAGCCCCGTTCAGGTTGTTTCAGGCTGGTTTCTCTAGAGAAGTAAAACCAATGAAGTGTATGCGTAAAAATATATAGAGATTGATATCAAGGAAATGGCTGGCAAATCCAGTATCTGTGGGTCAGGTGTCAGGCTTCTCCTAACCCAGGTGTTTGCAGATGTTGACAAACCCAAATGATGAAGTTCAGGCAGCAAGCTGAAGGCTTCTCATGTTCCAAGAACTGAACGTCAGATGATGATGAATTGAATGCAGGATTGAGAGAGAGCTTGAGGTTTGCCAGAACAACCATATGTATTAGATGCAGGCCATACCCCCAAAAAAACGTCTCCTTTCACCTGATTGGCTGCTCACGTCAGATCACAGAATGGAGTATGATTGCGTAAGGTCTGGACCAAACCACTGAGAACGATGGCCTAGCCAAGATGACACCTAACATTGACCATCCCAGCGGGACATCCTCTGAACTTGACAAGTGCTTGGGAAGTGTGGTGCTCCTTCAGCCAAAGCTGCCTCCTCCTCTTCCAGTTTGACACTTACATTGACTGGGGCAAGGGGAAGCCAGCTCCCCCAGGACCTCAGCTTTAAGCCCTGTACAGAGGTGGCAGGCTCCATCTGCTGGCAGGACTGTGAACTTACTCATTGGAATATTCAGAGTTTTTGTCCTAGTTACAGACTCGGGGGCAGCAGAGAAATGCCTCTCAATATCTTTGTCCATGAATACAACCGTAAAGCTGGAGGAAATCACACAGGGCTTCAGAGAGGAGCAAAGTGAGGCCAAGGACCAGCAAGCACCCTACTAAGCAGTAGCAAGTAGTCCACCTGGTATCAGAACCCCAGTCCCAACTTCCTTTACAGCAGTGCTTCTCAGCCTTCCTAATGCCGCGACCCTTTAATACAGCTCCTCATGTTGTGGTGACCCCAACCATTGGAAATGTGTTTTCCAAAGGTTTTAGGCGACCCCAAAGGGCCTGCTGCCCACAGGTTGTCGTTCAACCCCCAAAGGGGTGTCAACTCACAGGATGAGAACCACTGCTTTAAAGGAACTTCCTTCTAAGGCATCATGGCTTTTCCAAAGCAGTTACTATGGCTGCGATGTATTCCTCCAAAAAGCAAACACAGCGCCATCAAGTGGATGCTGACTCATAGCATTACCCTGTGGGTTTCTGAACCTGTAACTACAGTGAACCCTTGTTTATCGCGGTTAATCGGTTCTAGACCCTACTGTGATAAATGAAATTCCGCGAAGTAGGATTCCTTATTTGTAAATGAAATATTTTCATAGATAGAGCATAGAGGACATGAAAAAACACCCTTTAGTCACCATTACACTCGTATTACCCAATTTATTAAATGAAAAAGGGAAAATACAGTAAAACATTTTGGACATTACAATTATCATTTATTATTTATTATATTATTTATGGCATCAAGCGTGTACAGTATGAGCCAATCAGTGGCAGTCATGACAGAGCATGCGCTGTTACGCAAAAACCGCGATAGAGTGAAGCCACGGAAGTCGAAGCGCGAAGTGGCGAGGGTTCACTGTATATGATAGCAGTAGAAAGCCTTGTCTCTCTCCCTCGGAGGGGCTGGTGATTTTGAACTACTGACCTCAAAGTTAGCAGGGCAGCGGTGTAACCACTACTCCACCTGCAGGAAGGAAAAGTAGCAATCCTTTTCTGAGGCCTTTTGAGTGTCATTCTAAACATGCCACCATTCCTTACAGGGGGGCCTGTTTTTCTTCTATTCTGTGGGAAAGAAAGGAGCCCACGTCTCTCACATGAGAAATCAGATAAAATTAAAAAGTTGGCACTCGGCTCCTGTAAGATGAAAAGCAAGGAAGCCCTGTGGGGTCTCTGGTGCATCTACCAATAGCAAATTAGAAGAGAGGAAACCAATATGAGTTTACCAGGCGAGCCTTGCTTGCTAAGGTGTGCATGTTGGGCTGGGATCTGAATGACCGGCAGTTCGAAACCACCGGCAGCTCCGCTGGAGAAAGACTGGGCTTTCTCCTCCCATCCACAGTCACAGCCTCAGAAGCCCACGGGGCAGCTCTGCAGGTCAGTATGACTCGATGGCAGAGTTCGGTGTTTGGGTTGGAGCCTTGATTGCCGAGTCTCCATGGTAAAGGATGCAGCTTCCCCTAACTCTCCCTAGGAGTTAGGGGATGAATCAGGAGGAAGGGAAGTTGGTTTCCTTTGCTCTTCCCCCACAGACGTGCTGACCACCGCTCTTTCCCTGTGCAGGTTCGACACAGAGGAGGAGGCCGTAGCGATTGCGAATGCCGCCGACGTCGGGCTCGCAGGTAAGCGTATGTCTTCCTGAGCGACCTCCACAATCCTTTTCTCAGACAAACACAGAGGTTTGTCTTTCCAATGACTTCCCCCCTCCCCCCTGTGCCTGTTGTTTTTAAGCAGTATTTGGGGGGACCTGTAGGGCAGTGGGGGAGCCCTTGTGGCATCGTAGTTACGCATTAGGCTGCGATCTGAAAGGTTGGCAGGTCAAAACTCCCAGCGGCTCCTCGGGAGAACGATGAGGCTTTCTATTCCTGTAAGCGCATACAGTCTCGGAAACTCACAGGGGCCGTTCCACCATGAGTCAGACAGAATCTGTTCAGTGGCAGCAGCATGCTTCGTCTGCGTTTGGTGGGGGTTGACCAGGAGCTCCAGTGGCGGAGTGGGTTATGCTGGGTCACGTGTTGGGCTGCTAACCACAAGGTCAGCAGTCATTAAGCCGCGAGCCTCTCTTCGAGAGACCGATGAGATCCTCTGCTCCCATAGGATCCCAGTCTTGGAACCCCATAGGGGCAGTTCTACTCTGTCTTGTAGGCTCTCTGTCACTTGGAATCGACTCGCTGGCAGTGGGTTTGGTGAGGGAGTGCAGGACCTAAGGGATGCCCGGGTGGTTTTGATGGGCGTTTTCCTACTGTCTGATAGCGCCGACAGTTGTTCCACGTGCTTGTTCACCATTGGTCTTGACAGGATGTCTTCACGTCACACCTGTCCTTTATCCCGTCAACAGGTTATTTTTACTCTCAAGACCCGGCCCAGATCTGGCGGGTGGCCGAGCAGCTGGACGTTGGCATGGTCGGAGTTAACGAAGGGCTGATCTCCACTGTGGAGTGCCCCTTCGGGGGCGTGAAGCAATCTGGCCTTGGACGAGAAGGGTCCAAGTACGGCATCGATGAGTATCTGGAACTCAAGTATATGTGTTTTGGGGGCTTGTAGGATCCTTCCGCGCTCTACAAGATGAAAAGGAAAGAGGAAACTTACGTACGGACATGGGAACATGCCGTCCATTATCTTCAATACACGTACAGAGTTCTCCTAGGTTATCTGAATGTATGATTTTAATGCTCATCCGGTCCTTGTAACTGTAAAGAGATGTTCCTGCTCCTCCCATCACCCAACTTGGGACCAACATGCGCCACAGGGCCACCGCCGCCGCAGATGCCCGGAGGACCAGCGTTGGGCTGGTGGATCGAAATCCAGGGAGCTCTCGCTGTGAGTCAGGCAGCCCCTCCTGCCTCGACCACCGACCGCATTGCCCCCAGGGAGTGCAGGAAAGCCCACCTCTGACTAACGGGCTGCTCAGGGGGCACAGCACCCCCTTTCCGGGCCACCATCCAGTCACCCATAAAAGCTTATTGTGTATCCACGGTTCTAGAATTACTTGATTCCCCACGTCTACCACCGGATAGATCTGATTATGTGTGTGTGTGTCTGTGTGTGTGTGTGTGTGTGTGTGTGTGTGTGTGCCCCAGTGTGGCAAAGTATTTGTCAAGTCCACATTTTTTTTTAGATCCATCGTTCCATTATTGGTAATCCCAGGTTACAAGTGTAGGCATACTTCATTGT